CAGCCACTCCTCGGAAGGAAGGTTGGGCAATCCTACTTCCGTAGTGATACTGCCTCGGAAACCCAAGAAGGGGTCGCTATGAGTCAGGGCTGACTCGACGGCACATAACAACAACAACAACAAGTGAGGTGAATAGTGTTTGGGGTCTTAAAAGTTTCTATCTAAGATACAACTACTGGTCTTATCAGGAGCAAAACAGAAAATAAGTAATCAAAGTCTCAGAGAAGAAACTAGTCTGAAGGGTTAATAATCTACATGAACCATAGATTTATCTACACTGAGATGAAAAGAACTGAATGGTGCCCAGGAACTACTACCAACCATTCTTATCAGGTACACAATAGCCAGACGCTGACAAAATGGGAGAAAAATATGGAAAAGAATTTCAAATCCCTAAAAAAGTCCAGACTTACTGGAACAGCTGACACTGGAGGATTCCCACAGACTATTGCCCTGACAGGGACCTCTGGTAGCACAGTGCGTAACGCACTTGACTGCTAACCAGAAGGCTGAGAGGGCCTGGTGGTTCAAACCCACCAGCTACTCCTTGGAAGGAAGGCTGGGCAATCTACTTCTGTAGTAATACTGCCTCGGAAACCCAAGGAGGGGTCACTATGAATCGGGTCCAACTCAACAGCACATAACAACAACACTGCCCTGAGTTACTCCTTAAACCTGGAAATTATCTGGAAGTCATATTTTAACAAAAGACTGGAACACAAATAAAGGGTATTACACATGAATTCAGTATTCCATTAAAAACCCATTTATGTATCACAGAAAATCCCTAAGACACAGCAAGAAAATTACTGAAGCTAAGTGAAAGTTTCAGCAAAGAGGCAGGGTACAAGATAAACATATACAATCAGTTCTATTCTTTTCCACAAACAAGAACTCTAAACAGAAAATCAGGGGAACTATTTGTTAGGTGCCATTGAGTTTGTTCGGACTCATAACGACCGTGTGTACAACAGAATGAAACATGGCCTGGGCCTACACATTTTCACAATCGCTGCTATGCTTAAGCCCATTGCCACAGTCATTGTGCCAATCTATCTTGAGGAATGTCTTCCTCTTTTTCACTAACCCTCTACTTTACCAAGCATGATCCTCTTCTCCAGGGACCAGTCCCTGCTGACATGAACAAAGTACAAAAGATGAAGTTGGGCCATTCTCATTTCTAAGGAGCATTTTGGCTGTACTTCCTCCAGGGCAGATTTATTCATTCTAATAGTACAGGAACCCGGACAGAAGAGCAGTCAGCCCCAGGGATATAGGTGAAGAGAGACAACTCAGGGATGCCCAAAGCAGCAGGTGGGAAGAGCAGGAGAAAGGGGATTAAAAGCCAGGAAGCCAGACAGAGGAACAGTCAGCCACAGGGACCCAGGTGGGGGTGATAC